CGGGCGGGCGGGCGGGCCGCCGGGAGGGGATCTGGAACAAACAACGGCGGCCATGTTGAGAGGGAATCGGGGCGGCTAAACTTCTCCGGCAGGCTGCCGGGCCGCGCGCCTCACGAGGGTCTCCTCGCCCCCCTCCCCGCCAGGATGACAGTGAAGTTGGGAGACGGCAGCAGCGGGGAGGAAGGGCTCAAGAGGCTGGGCAAGAGGTCGGCCGATGAGGACTCGCTGGAAGGAGAAGGCGCCGGCGGCGGGGACGCGGCCGAGGAGAGCGGCGGCACAAAGAGGGACGGCAAGACCCCCCGGGACGGCGGCGACGGCCCCCCGGCCCCCTCGGGCGGCCCGCAGGCCCCGTCCCCGCCGCCCGCCTGCCCCCAGGACCAGCACCACTTCCTCAGGTCCAGCGTGAGGCCGCAGAGCAAGAGGCTCAGGAAAGACTCGTCCTGCGCCGGGGGGAGCAGCAGCGCCGGCAGCTCGGCGCCCCGCGGAAAAGGTACGGACCCCAGCACCCTGCAGAGTGTGCCCTGTGCTCCCCCGGGGTGGAGAGGGACCCTGCCCTCCCCGTCTCCCCCGCAGCTCTCGCATTTGTCCAGTACTCACTTTGGGTGGCACTTTGGAGGGGGACGTGCCCCCTTTCTCCTCTGAAGAGGCAGTTTCTTTCTATATTTAAACTCGGTGAAGGGCAATAAGTTTCCTTTCTTTGGGTAAGTACAATGGATTCCTGAAGGTTGGCTTTTTGCTGGAAAGGATCGTTGATGATTTATATGGTAGACTCTTTTAAACAGCAGACAATAGTGTAGAGATGGAGAGAGAAATACCTGCTGTATCTCTTTCCCAGACATCAGATGGTGGATACAACAAAGGAATGGGCTTTCGGAACTCACTTGGGGGAAGATTGATAAGAAGCCGAAAATGGATGATCACAGGGTCTGACTTGGGCTCCTTGCCCTCTACTTCAAGTCTTCTAGGCCCTGGAGTATTAAGGGCATCAAGGTGTGGCCCTCTGAGTTTCAACCAGGGTTTCTTTGGGTGCCATGGAAAGGCTCTCCCCTAGGGTAGCAGATAGTGAAAACGTTTGTGGCCTGATATAAACGAGCAACCACCTGCAGTGTTTGTCCTGGTATCCTGAGGTGACCAAGAGTATTACAGCTCTACGAGGGTCCCTGCTGCGATAATAAGAAAACCACATGTCAGTTTTGTTCCTGATTCCTGGTTCTCCATTGTTTTCTGAGTTTATCTATTTATATTTTAGCATTCTGCTTTTCCTTAATTGTACAAGTGAATTGCTCTTACATCCTTTTTGTTTCAGGCCAAGTTTGCGGCACTTTTGTAGATAGCAAATAGAACATCAACGTCCAGTGAGTTTCACATGAAAAACACTTTCACTTAGTTCCTTGGGAAATGGTAATTTAAATTTATTAGATGGTCCTGATAATTTTAAAAAGGAGATATTTCAGAGGCTAACGGAGAACGCATTTTGGAGATCTGTTCCAAATGTGTACCATTACACTTGCTTCTTCCGCCTCATTCTCAACTGAGGATGGCTGGCCTCTGAAGTCTTGGCCTTACTCATTTTTTGATAAAGACTTTTGATGTAAGTATACAGAAAGTAAAACTTGCCTCATACATTTATTTTGGATGTGATCATTGCTGATCAATTAGGAAAACATTAATTTGTTTTGCCACCTTCATTTGTTTTGTAAAAAATAGTTTTTCATTCCTAGTTACACATGTGTCTAAGTTATCACCTGTAAGCTCCTGGGATGCCTTCGAGGGTTCATTTGTGGCTTTAGAAGCCCTGGATCTGGAGTCCAGTCAGAGTTCACAGCCTCATCACCCAGGCCCTCTACTTCAGTCTGCTTGCTTGATCTCCCAATCTGCTTTTCCATCAGAGAGGCGTCCTCACCTGTGAAACTAGGAACAGCAGGACTGCTCCATTCTGCAACAGTGGCTGCTAAGGTGAAACAGGTGCTGCCACGGATGTGCTTTGTCACCTGTAAACAGCTACCTGTATGTAAGGTGAAGTGATGCTAAAACTTGAGTGTTTGGTTGGATTTTTGGCCGTCAGGTGATGAGGGGATTTGCTTTTGCTTGCGTGGTTGAGTGTGGCTTGCTTAGATGGAGAAGGATTCCTGGAGTAGTCTCGTATCAGATCATTGGCGCATCTGTTCTTGGTTCCTGTCCCAATGTGTGGCTTGGAGGAGCAATTGACTTTCCATTAGCAAAATGGATATTTGTTAGAATTTGTGCTTCTTGTGACTTACGCATTTTCCTGTATTAGCAAGCAAAAATCTCTAAGTAAATAATAAAGCTAAACTGTAACGGTGGCTCTTAGGAGATGAGCGGAAACATGTCTCCTCTGCTTCACAGAACTTCTTGGCCAACGTCTGGCCTTGAGCTTCTTGGTGAGGCCTCCTCTTGGCTGTGCTCTGTGCTTGGGCTATGGGGATCCTTTGCATGCACTTCCCTGCACCCAGGCGATGCCCCTCCTCATGCCTCAGGGCAACCTCTCCTCGCTTATCAGCCAGCAAAGGAGGTCAGGTTGTGACAGCATGCCTGGTAACCTTTGGAAACAGTTCTTAGAGGAGCATTTGTCTTACAGACTGGAGATCTTTACCTGGGATGGTGAGCGTGGATCGGTAAGGAAATGAATAGTGCTGGCATCTTTCAGTTTTTCACTTCAGAAAAATATAATTTTTGTTATGCTTAAGGAATAATCACAGCCAGTCATTGGAAGTTCCTTTGGTTGATTACTTACTATTACTACTCTTGTTAGTTTCATTCTTCAGGGGCGTGAGAACCCGGCAGTGAATTTGGAGAAGACGTGGAGAAAAGGAAGTCATCCTTGTTTTGCTTCTCTCCACACAACTATGTGTTCTTTCTCTATAAGAATAGACTCTGTTGTCAACTTCAATGAGAAGTGACTTTTTTTCTAGTACAATTCCGAATTAAATTCTTCTTGAATTGATAAGGGGAAGGTAGCTAAGATTTAGCACCTTTGTGTCAAGTGTCTTGCATCTCGGTTACTTTACTTTCAAATGGGTGCAGCAACTGAAATTTGTTGTTTAAATAATGTGTTCAACCTAGAGAGAAGGTAAGCTGCAAACCAGAAACCAGTGGATCTGCTGGTGCCAAAGCAGATGTTCCTCCAGCTGCACCATGCCGCCTGGAGTGACCCGAGGACACGTTTGAGACTGAAACCCAGAATTCATGTGTCCATGAGAACATGGGCCAGGAGCCGGAGCCCCTGACGCCCTTTCCTGTTTGGCCAGTTTGTGATCTGGGTGATTCTTGGCAAATGAGTGCTTCTCGATTTCTCTATGAATGGGGATAATGCCAGTGCCTGCCTCACTGCAGTAAAGAACACAGCGAAGCCCTGCCCTACGTGGTTAATGGGCTTCCAGCGCCTCTCTTATGGAAGATGTGCCTGGCTGCAAGGTTAGGGGAGCTGTAGGCCAAGTCTGAACAGGTGGACAGGAGCGGGATGGGACCCTATAAGGGGTAGGGAGGTAGAGGTCCCAGGAATGCTCCCAAGCTGCTGCCCTGTCAGGACGGTTGGGCTGAGGGGATGCTTGAGGTGGGGGCAGAGTCAGACCTTCTGTTTCCATCGCGGCCCCTCCCCCCCAAGCTTTGTCCACACCGTGTAGGGGCAGTGAGTCAAGAAATGGGCTGTCTCCACAATTGGGCGGTATCGCCTGGCTTTTCTGTGCTTGTGCTTAGGAATCAGTAAATCGCTGTGCAGAACTTATTTATATTTTGCATAATGTAAGGGCTGTCTGTAGCTTCTAGGTGTTTTTTTTTTATTTTATTTTTTTGGTGAGGAAGATTGGCCATAAGCTAACATCTGTTGCCAGTCTTCCTCATTTTGGTGAGGAAGATTGGCCCTGAGCTAACATCTGTGCCCATCTTCCTCTATTTTGTATATGGGACGCTGCCACAGCATGGCTTGATGAGCGGTGCATAGGTCCATACCCAGGATCCGAACCTGCGAACCCCGGGCTGCCAAAGCAGAGCACGCAAACTTAATCACTGCGCCACCGGGCCAGCACCGTAGGTGTTTTTAAAAAAGACATCTTATGAAATATCTCACCCTGATGCGGTCAACCTCTGGGAGACTGAACCACATTGGAAAGAAGGTTGAACTAGCAGTCAGGAGACCCAGCTTCTCCCCCAGAGCTGCCGAGTGGTGGGTTCAGTTGTGCAGCAAAGGGAAAGTCACTCGACATGCCCGAACTTTAGGCCCCTTGCTTTTAAAATGGGTCGCGTGAGAAAGTGGCTGAAGCTGCGCTTACCTTAACATTTAGGGATGTGCGGAATGGTCTGGGGTCCTGTGTGTTCCCAAGAGCGTTCTAGAAGGTAGACTGCCTGAAGTGAGGATCATTCTGTATCTGATGGGCTCTGCTTAGCCCTTGCCTCTTGGAGAGCACCCGGGCAGGGAGTGTCCGAAGTGCGCACTCCATCCGGACATGTAACTGTGTGGTGCCTGGGGTGGCTCCACCTCTCGTCTGCTCTGCAGGCACTTGGGCCAGGCTCCGGGTGGCTCGTTGAGTACGGCCATGCATATTATGAAGTCCCTACCCTTCATACTCTCAGGGGAGGGGGACATACTAGATGATCACAAGACCACTGAGGCTGGGCGCTGTGGTTCTTTTGCATGGTCTGATTTCAGCAAATGATATTTAATGAAGTCTGGTGCAGTGACGACTATGTGGAGCCCACCGTAGCCTGGGCGGGACGCCAAGCTTTGCCAGAAGCCCTTGGGCTTTGTTGGGAGAAGAGGCGGAGCGAGGCAGGATGTTCCCCTGACTCTGTCCAGCACACAGCAACACACCCCATGTGATCCTGCGCGTGGCGGAAGACACAATAACCGAGCGTGGTCCTGTCGCGTGACGCAGACCCCTGTGCATGGTAGGCCAGGAGACCTGTGGCCCAGGCCACTTCAGAGATGGGTCACAAAGGAGCTGTGCAGCACAGAGAGGAAAATGTCTGTAAACCACAGGTCCTTAGTAACTTATTATGTTCTGAGTTGTACAAATTGCCTTTGGATGGATAGTATAGATGGGTAGGTAAAGTAACATTTGAATATCGGTGTGAAGGCTGAGCTAATTTTCAAATTACCTCATTGACTTTTTTTTTTTTTAAGATTTTTATTTATTTATTTTTCCCCCCAAAGCCCCACTAGATAGTTGTATGTCATAGCTGCACATCCTTCTAGTTGCTGTATGTGGGACGCGGCCTCAGCATGGCCGGACAAGCGGTGTGTCGGTGCACGCCCAGGATCCGAACCCGGGCCGCCAGCAGCGGAGCGCGCGCACTTAACCGCTAAGCCACGGGGCCGGCCCCCTCATTGACTTTTAATGTCAAAACTAATGTCGTTTCTGTGGTGTCTGTCTTTCTGGGCTTGTCTCTTTCCAACCAAGTATCCTTTAGGATTTTCATTCCATGTAGTACATTGTGTCTTGTTTTGGATTATATGAAGATATAAAGATAACA